AATTTGAATTTTTTAACAGAAATTACTGATGTACATAATGTGTGCAAAGCTAAATTGTTTATTTTTCAACAAAATGAACGAGAGGTCATTTAATTAATTCATTCATTATGAATAAGTGATCGTGCACTTTTACCATGAAAAAATAATGATGATTTTAGTAGGGCGGAATCAAAAGCAAAATTATTGTATTTAATTACTGATGATATTTTTCGGGACGAAATTTGCCTACTATAATAATTTAAGCAGTTTTTTAGGAGGTCTAGCCGCCTTAAATTCTATCCCTGACGCCAAATCGTGTGAATCAATATATCAACAATTGATTTAAAAAATCAATCACATCTAGTTTGTCGATCCCACGGTCTTCATCGCCTAGTTAACATCTATAATGGAAACTTTTCGCCGGTCATAAACCACCTGCAAACGTTGAATCCCACGATCGGTTCATGGACCCAAATACTCATGCGATTGTTGTCTTCCCTCAATGAGCTGGTGAATGTCGCCCACCACATAAAATAGTATATGGGTATTGTTATTATTGTTTGTTCTAAGTCGCCGTCCCCCAGCTTTTTATTTTCTGCGTACACCGCCGTCGCCCGGACGAATAACAAGTATACTACACCGTTCACTAGTACATGTGTGTGTGTGTATATGTATTAATTTATGTGTTTAAAATTTTTTCCCACGAGACTTTTACCCTTGGCGGGGTGTATTTAGTTACGCGGGCAATATAAATTTAATAAGGGTGACGGATGATGTGAGGGGGGAAGGGAAAGGCAGAGAATGCATAACTGTAAAGAGGACAATTGTATTACAAACGGTCTCTCATCATCATCGTTGGAGTGGTCGGTGGTTACATATTTGTAATCATGACTTTCATACGCGAAATTGTCACAAGACAAACAGAAAACATATTCTCACGGATAACAACGCCGTAGTCAGATAATTTATACAATCTATGAGGGCAATATTAAATTTACATCCAATACTTCGACCGGGTTGAGTTGGGTGACGTTATTATTCAGTTACTGAATACCAAATAAACGGTATCATATGGTCGTTTGACTGTTTTTTACAGGTACAATGTAAACGCTATAAAATATGCATATTATAATTACTTGCAGTTCGTTTCAACTCTGTGATTAAAGAGTTCAAAGAAAGTGCAATGATACTAGTCGCATAAATTTATGTCAACTGATTTTCGTACGTTTACTGCTACACAATATGATTTATATAGAAAATATATAAAACAAAAATGATCACTCGGAATTGTTTATTAATTGTTTCATATTTACGTCGATTGCACACATAATGAAATAAAAACTATACTTTTTGTGTCTATACGATTCGAAATAGGTGAAGAATAGCTTTGTATATTCCTATAATACACAATACAAACAAAACAAAGGAATTCGTTAAAGGTATTATTAAATTTGTTTGCCGGTTTCATTAAAAAATCAATATAGAAGACGTCTTACCTGCTTTATTGATTCTTAAATGCATAATTCATGTTAAACTTGCAAAGGTCTACATTTTTTATAGTTTATAATGTTTGAGTTTAATTGGTACAAAAGTACACTACGGCAGTGAGTTTTACATACACGTGCATTTTTACCTTTTATATATATAACGCATTCAAAGATAATAAGAGTATCGTAAACAAAACTATAGTTTTAATTACATTGGTACATATCAATCTAAATATCGATATATAAATAAATAATTCATTTTAGAAACTTTCTTTAAAATATATTTGTTTGATATTTTCAAAGAATAATCGTATAACTCGAATGAAAATCATTAAGTATTTATTCATTTGAAGATAAACTAGCCCGTCTGCCAATCAGAATTTTCTACTGAAAACCGTTAACCTTATAAATTTGGCATTTTTCATGAGCACCTTACTTGTACCGACTACTTGCCAACAGATTGAAAAACACCCGTAGACATGTGCACCACATTTTACAATTTAAGCAGTCCCCCTGCAAAACAAGTTTTTCAACGGTAGCAAAAAATACAGAAACGACCCCCTTGCTTCACATCTGAATCGGCGATGCCTGCTGGTTTTACCTGTTTCGCAGCCGAGGGATTTGATTTTTTTTTTTCATTAAGCACACTAGGACCTATTTATGACACATTATTACCGAGACTGGGGCTAGTGGAACAGCGGCAATGGCGATTAAATGTGGGGAGACGTACAATTGTTTTGCTGCACGTAGTCGAAACGGTTTTTGAAAACTGCGACGCAATTGACGCAATATTAAAATAACACGCCGTCTGTCGTACATACACCGAGTACTATTAATACAGTAGTTATCAAAGAGCAGGTCTTTGTTACTTGCAATGCGACCACAGCCGACCTGAGCGTTAGACGTGTAGACTTTGCACTGTCCAATAAATGTAATAGAGCACGCCAAAAATCTGATAAGATAAATCAACACATTGGGTTCTTTTTTGGGCTTCTCGCGTTTGTACTTTTGATCTTTAAACAGATTACAAATTCAGCAGGTATAATTACGATGACTAATCCGTGTAAAACATTTGTCTAATTTAACTAGATGTCATTTAATTATCACCTCGCGCTGATAACGCACTGATCATCGTTCAACAGTTAAGTACGACATGTATGCGAACCGTTAACACTTGTTTACTAATATTTATTGATTTCAAGTATTTTTCTTCTCGCACGTTTTAGCGGTACTGTAAAACCTAATGACCGTTTCAATATTGAAATACTACGGCAAAGTTCACAGTCAAATGATATCGACGGTTACAATATGAAATGTCTGTGCGGCTTTTTTTTTTTTTTTTTTCAAACATAATTGCATTTCTAAAAGGACAATAGTCTCTATCGATCGATTCTGCTTTTATGACAAAACGATAACGTGCCGGTTATTAAAACGTATTTTGAATTCTCTCTTTTCATTTGTGCCTTGAAAAATCAATTAAACTGTTGTGTCCCGTGAAATTTGAAAATCATCGCGTAAGCTCTTAAACATTGTCGATGTTGTGCGTGTAACTTGCACCTTTACTATTAAATCTCGCACGGTGTCCAACTGACTGAAACACACACATGTCCTCTGTTAGGTTATTTACATAATAATAATGTGTATGCAAATGTATAAAAAATACACGCTCAGGAACCGCAGCACCTAACGTCGGAAGTGTTTAGACGCATTACATTGTGTGCTATACCTGTATTTCACAAGTCGTGGGGTGTAGAAAATAACGAATTGGGCAATAACGCACTTGGTAGACGCGCATATGCGCACATATTTTTTCACAAACCGGTGTGCTGCTTTTCCTCCTCTTCCTCCTCGCGTTCTTCTTACGCGCACATGTACAATAAGTATTCATCGCCCCGCGAGCCGTTCCGGTTTTCTTTTGTCTAGTTTGGCATTAAGGACGCCGAGGGCTGCATTTTTCGGGGGACTGTAAAAAAAAAAAAAAGGGCCTGCACCGTCGGGCAGCAAAGGGTGCGCAAGCTATGCGGGCACCCCTCTCTTTAGAGGTTTAAAATATAACGGTCATTCTGCACTTTACAAATTGTGTCACACATGCGGCAAGCAATTGCCTTTTCATACAACACGTACTGTACGATGCCTATCGCTACTCAGCTACAACGGCGAGGTTTCAGGTGGCTGTACTTTACAGGGAAAAAATCAAAAACATTGTGCGACACAGTGGTAGTCTAGACGATGGTTGCGACACAAAGCCCTTTCTCGTTCATTAATATTACTATAAGACTCTTTAGGGACCAGCGCAAATCAGTTGAAAATTAATCACTAACCGTTAAAGAAATCCCTCGACACCGACGGCAACGAGAAATACAACTACGCCAATGTAAAAGATCATAAAGCAAACTTAATCCAATTACTGTAATCCAATAATCATATAATTATACTATAGTGTTTAATGTATCTGTGCATCTTAACACTGAGACGCAATATTTTACATATACCTAGAAAATTATGGTCAATATTCCTTATATTTAAATAATTTTTCAATCGAGCAACATGATAGTTATGACCATCAGTATAAAAAACGCTAAACATCTATTTCATTTTTTAACAATATTTGTCGTTCATAATGCATATATTGATGCATTGATCGTTTATTTATCACAGTAATGTTCACACGTGATTTCTCGATTAATAATTATTTAACATAATAATTATTGTCTTAGAAATTATAATTAATGTTAATATTTGTTTTTAAATTTAATTTTCTTATCTATATTATTTCTTAAAAAGATATCAAGACTAATAAAAATACTTTCCGTTTTAAATTGTCTACATTAAATATTTTTTATTTAGATTGATTTGGAGTCTAATTAAATCAATTTGATTCTATTACATAGTTCATACTTTTATAGTGAAGTATTATTTTACTCAAATTTCTATCTCATATTTAACATATTCCGAATAAGATTAAAGATAGACCAAAATTCACTATTCTAAATACTCAAAAAATTCTTTTGGTAAATAAACAACTACACGTATAAAATTAATAATTCGTTATTTAAAATGATATTTTGCTTAACTAAAGGAATTTGTATGTGTTTTGCGACCTATTATCATATACATTACTGTGTTATCGTTTGGACATTTTATCATAAGCTTGGCGAATTCATTACTCTTACAACACTTTGTACAAGATCAGTTATTTTTCGTTCATTTCTCTGGTCATTGTATTTAGTTATTTGTATCTTACAAAAATTGTGAATTCGAATAAAAACGCTTCGTGAATTATTCGTTAAAGTCTCTATGTTTGTACGTTTGTCAGTGTATTTACTTATGTTATTACTCTATTATTGTTACTTGTAAAAATCACAGTGTTGTAAAACGGAAATCTGGCGGTGAACCGGTTGCGGCGGAAGGGGCTACCGTCGTAGTAATCGTATAGTCGAGGGTACGGACCGCAGCGATTGGCCCGCGCCATGGACCGCTTTCCCATTGGTCGATAGGGCCGGCACGTGCTGAGTGCACCCGGCACTATTATCACACCTGTCCCTGTGATGTGGTGTTACACCAGCGGTTCTAGCCTACTGGTGGTGGGGAGGACACACTCACCGAAAATACGACTACCTTTCTCGAGCCGGTGGCTGCTGCGCCCATCGCAGCTCATTCTCTTCGGCGATCCAAACCGGAGTGGTTACCCTCTGCTCATCGACTAGTGACTTCAACATAACCTGTACCTTACCGTGTCAGTGAGTTCGACGCCAGTGCAAAGCGTACACTATACTTAACCGAGTTCGGACGTTAAAGACTTTGAGTGTTTTTTTTACTTCGTGTATTAACTTTCTCGAGTGTTCGACTATGCATATTTGGGACGACAAACCCATGATGCATCACAAGGCAGTCGCCAAAAAAATGGATTACTCACACTGCCCATTAAAGAAACGACCTGTTCACTACGACAGATACGTCAAAGAAGAAATGGATTACGGTAAGCAGAATTTATTTTGTTTAAAATTAATCCTAGTCGAATAAAAATATTAAGTAACGGCACTTTTTCCTAACACTTGTATAACAGCATGGGGTGCTAGGTATGGGAACCGGTGTGGCGACACCGACCGTGAGAAAGCCCACCGAGATTCTGCGATGCACCCTCCAACCGTTTTTCGCAATCCCTCTTATTAACATTGTAATATCTACATGGGTTAACCGTAGGAAATAAAATAAAAACGATTTGCACTATAATAGTATATACATAAAAATGCACTTAAAACATGGCACTATTATAGTAATAAAAATCTGATATAACCGCACCAGACTTATAAAAAAAAACATTTAATAACTTAAAAGAAAGAAATGTTAATTATGTATTTTTCTTTTGTAGAAACTATTGCTGAAGCTGATTACTCTGAACCAGAAAATTTGAGTACTAAGCCACAAGACTTGAGTATTAAGTGCAAACAGTCCACTGCCGTTCCTCTAGCACCGCAAGGCTTAAAAAAAGAATCTCTGTACATGCATCAACTACCAGTACAGCCATCACCTTACCACCATCCGTATCAACCTACAGCTATCAAGCCCGGTCCATTGGAGCCGTTGTGCTTAAATATCGCTGCCGGTGGAGACCATCCTGGTGGTTCTTATCCCCACAATCACGGTCCCACGGCACCTAGACCAGTACCTGCTCAATACCCACCAGCAGCCTATCATTTAGGCTACATGTATCACGGATTATCGACCGAACCACGAGCTTACCCAGTCTATCCACCTCCTCCAACTTCAATTCCATTACACGGACGGGATGGTTCCCTATCTCCTCCTGGATCTTCTTATTCAGCATTCAAACCTCATGTGCCATCCTGGCAAAGTCGCAGTTCAGACGGTGGTTGGTCACCACCCGCTTTGACTGAAACATCTTCGCCTGCCGTTTCCCCTTACGGTGGCGGTGGCCATTCCGGCGAAAGCGACACAGCTTCCTCCATCACCAACGTATCTACAATCACTTCCAACTCGACGACCACCCAAAGTATCAAAACCGGCGGCAGGTACAAATGCACGACATGCTCCAAAACTTACTCGACCGTGTCAGGTTTGACCAAGCACCAGCAATTCCACTGCTCTGACGACGAGTGTGGTGGCAGCCCAAAAACATTCAGCTGTAAATATTGTGAAAAAGCTTACAACACACTGGGAGCTCTCAAGATGCACATTCGTACTCACACGTTGCCATGTATATGCAAATTGTGCGGTAAAGCTTTTAGCCGACCATGGTTGTTACAGGGACACATCCGTACGCATACTGGAGAGAAACCTTTCTCTTGTCCACACTGCAACCGAGCCTTTGCTGACAGATCAAACCTCCGAGCACATTTACAGACCCACTCGGATGTCAAGAAATATTCGTGTCCCACATGTAGCAAAACTTTCAGCCGCATGTCTCTACTCACTAAACACTGTGACACCGGTTGTCCAAGGCTATCGGATGGCCATCGTCACCTACAGAATGCTTCACCGCAATAATTCCTCCCTCGTAAATATTAACTCATATGCTGTACTATTTATTCTTATTGTCTACTCTTTCTTCCCACCAATTTTTTTCTTGTATTTATACTAGTCACTTTATTATAATATATATTTATATTATTGTAAACAATTGCACTGTTTAGGTTTAAGGTAATATTATTAATGTAAGGCCACACTTTATTTATTTTTATTATTGGCTATTGATGATGAGCATTTTAATGTTTATTTATTTATTATTATTATTATTATTTTCAATATTAAGCCATTTATTTTTATGTTGAAAACTAGTCGTCGTTTTATATTATGCCCCCGCCCCACTATTGTTTTAAACCCAAATGTCGGCCATATTGTACTTGTTATGCTAAACGTTTAATATATTTGAACCATATATCAATTATGATTTATATATATATATATGTAATGTTTTTTAGCGTAAATCATATAGGACTGACATATTTCAAAACAACGAATTTGATATTATAAAGTAATATATTATACTTACTCGATTAAGTTAATATAATATAATATATTATTTTTTACAATAAAAATGTATGTGATACTCTAAATTATCTGCTGAGTTGTTGTTTTTTTAATATAGAAATTAGCGTAAACTTGTTTATATATATATATATATATATATATATATATGTATAATCTTATAATATGATATATAATATATTACCTTGACGATTACTTCACTCAGGAATTAATTTTAAAACTTTCAACAAACTCTTATGTTTTTCAAAATTCAATAATTAATATGATGACATGCGCCACTTTCGCTTTATCACTCACGTATATTAATATCAAACAAGTTAGTTTAAATATAAAAAAAATTAATTTTTACACAAAATAATTAAGTCAAGTGTACGACGAAACAAAAGTATTTGGTGTACCACCTGTGCGAGTGTACTGTCTGATAGGTGGCAAAGAATTTTTTTTCTTGTGAAATGAGTGGCGTTGGCAACAACAAACGCACTCGTGGGAAACGGATGCACAACGTTTAATCAAATACGTCTATAGGTAATAGTATTATATTGGTGCGTATATGGGTAGGTGACTGTGTAGACACACACAATGGTAAACGGGTGTACCTGTGCGGGTTGTTTACCCGGGTCAGTAGCAGCTATTTACAGGAAAAGGAGTCCATGAGAAAATACATTATACATTATTATAAATTGGTCCACCATTCTCATCATATGTATAACACTCCCCAAACGGGTACCAATACACGGGGTTCCCACCGTGGGGAGGTATATGATTTCAGAGACGTTTGCCTTACCTACCTGTCGCGTTTTCGCATCATCCGACGGACCATTCATAAAAATATTTTAGTATCAATTCTCACGAACATGCTCAGGTAATCATCTTCGTGAGAAAACTTTACAGAATCAGTTTTATAACAACATTAAATCGTGATTCATGTAAGCTTGTGTCGCTGTTAATTTCGATATCTCTTCCAATCGTTGAATTTTAATTTTTATCAGTTTCTTGTAATCCACTAGCTTTTTTTATGTCTGTGATCATCAAAATATTTAACTCGCAAGTACTGGAAATATTAGTTGATTGTTGTTCATCTGATTTTTTTTACTTAAATATTCAATTAATGTCACCAGTTTATACGCTAGTATATAGTACTATAAACTTCTAATGAGAATTTATAGTTACATATAATCAAATTATTCAATTTTTATTTGTCAAACAAATTTTGATTTGAGGAATTACAAGCGTCTCTGACACACGATAATTTTTCTAGCATATTTAAATGATAATCAAAACATTTCTTATTTTACCATCAAAAAATGACGATTCAAATTATATCGTATATTAAAATTAAAAAAAAAATTCATTTGTATGCTTTTTGAATTTGATAACTGTTATATGGTATCCACAGGAAATAAATATTAAATAAAGTTTATAAATTTATAATATCATTAAAACATTTACTTTAACATCTTTTCCAATGCCTTTTATATCAACTCTAAAACCTATTTTGATATAGTTAAGTATACGTGTAAACTACCTAAATTAACTAATACAATAGAATCGAACTTGATACCTACGCATCAAACACGTTTTCGATTAAACCAATCTGATAATAAGCAATCATTTTGTTAATATTTAATTGTTCAGTTTTAATTAAAATTTTCAGTTCTCCAATAATTATTACAAATCAAATAATTATCTTGAAAATCAAGCAACAACATTACTACAGAATTCGGTACAAAAGCTAATTAAAGAAAGAAAAATTGCTTATTAATCCATCATGAGCTGATAAATTCTTTTTAGATTGCCTAGAACTAAAAATTGAAAAATTAGACTATATCTGCCATAATATAAATCATACGTAAAAATATTGTATTACTACATTATTTTTTCTTTAATGTTCATCATCCTATTTATAGCCGTTTTCAGCTTTTATGATTTTTGATACAAAATCTAAATCAAGTATTTACAAATGTTTTAAATATTATATTGACTCTTTTAAATTTGGTTTCATTTATTCATTAAATTTTATTTCAATGTATAAATAAATAAAATCAATTAATGCTAATATAACATCAGAGTTAAAGAAAACTATTGTAAATTATGATTATAAATAAGCCACTCGAGAATATTTAGATAAAAAAAAACGTACCAATTATTAAATAAGAATACCATAAATAAAAATAGATAAAACAAAATTACATCAATATAAATTATATTATCCCTTTCGACGCTGTAATCATTTTTAATTTAAAAATACTGTTAAGTTTTTTTAACAGTTAAGAACTTAAAAATTATAAAAATTAAGGATTTCAATTTAAATGAAATTTTTTCAAAAAATTATAAAACTTGATTAAATTAATGTTATAAATTCAAAAACTTTGTTTTACCTACTTAAGGGCAATAACATACATTTCAATTACTCTTTGCAAAATATTACTTTATCTAACATACTTTGACACTTTTCAAAGTACAAATTTTTTAAGCTTATTTTATGAAATATATGATGTGTACAATAATATAGCACATTATAATGTTGCTATAATATAAATTATTTATTTACTTATACAGAGTGATTCGTTAAGGATAAGAAACTCATTTCTCGGAAACTATTGAAAATTTTTAATTTCTGTAAAGAAAAATATTGTTTGTTTCGAATACTATATAAAAATATGTAGTTAAATAATTTTTTTTCATCCCTTCAGATATAAAAACCTTAACAATAGTATTTTTTAATGAGAACCCCTATTTTTACCTTAATAATATGATAGGAAAAAAAATGTACAAACAATTTTATTCTTGTATTTTTTTTTTCTATTGATCAACCGTTCGTTTGTTTCAGGGTGGTAATGTGTTTTTAAACCAAAATTATATTTTTATTCTACTGTTTTGTATACAGAAGTCATTGATAACTATCAATAGACAAATACTATTATATTCCATACAAGTGAACTATCATACATTATAGAACTACTAGTGTGAAAAAAGTGTTTCATAACTACCTAAAAATTATAAGAATATGACAAATTAAAACATTATTGGCTCTTCATTATGAAATCGCACGACTGTGGTGCTTAACATTTGATCTTTGAAAAGTGCAAAGTATATTAAATGAAGCAATAGTGCATCAAACTATATTAACAGACGTATCCAAAGCATAAAAATTTATAAAATATGTTAATTTTTATAACATGTATGCACAATGTACTTACATAAATGTTTTATTGTACATATATGTATCAGTGTCATATTTTGCAAAGTGTTATTTAAATGAATATTGTTGTTACAATGAAAATAATGTAATTAAAAACCTTGATGCTCTTAAATATCAATCTACCTTTACAGGTAGAACCGAGTTTTTGAATTTCTAACATTAGTTTAATCGAGTTTAATAACTTTTTAGAAAAATTTTAATTGAGTTGAAATTCTCAATTTTTATTATTTAGATGCTCTTTAACAGTAATAAAAATTCAAAGAATTTTTGATCGAAAAATATTTATGGCACCGAAAGGGATAATGTAAATATAAATATGTATGTATGTATATATGATATTTATAAATATATCTTATTTAATAACAATGAACACGTTCAATAATTAAAAATTGAACATTTTGACTAAGAAAAGACAAATTTTTGTGGCTATAGTCTTCTATTTCATAAAATATAATAGACCTAATAGGAAGCTTTTTCACCACATTATTTAATTTTTGGCTTTGATTTTTTTAAGTAAATATAGCCAGACTTTTTTTTTTATTTAAAAACTTAATATTGTAAACAAAAAAAAAGTACTTTGCAAATCAATTACCACGAATTTGACTATAAAGTATTATTCAATATTTTTATTTATTTCATAATTGCGACTTATATTGTTTACTTTAATACTCACATACAAATACTTTAACACGTGACTAAGTTTTTATTAAGTCAATATTTGGTATATATTTATTAATATTAAATTATTATGGCCTCTGCGACGATTTTACCCCCATATTGTAATCGTCGAAGTCATGTCATTACACTGAAATCAAACCGTGTGGAACATTTTTACTCGGTTAATAAAAATACCTTTGAATTTAGTCCCCAACTAGTAAAAAATATTGACCTGAGTGCTTTAAAACCACTTACCGCCCGTATATATGTTTGCACGCACGTTAATAAAAAATAATTATTATGCTATTTGTCGTATTATTTTTTTTGAATTATGATGGTTAGGTGCGGTTTACTGTAATCATTATACCTCATGAAATTATAAATTTCCACAATGAGTAATAATGTAGATTACTCCTAGTACACACAAATATTAAAATATATAATAAGGTATTTTCACTGTGTATTAGTTTTTATTAAAGTAATGCGGAAGATTGTGCACTACGAGTTGACAATGTCAGAGCAACAGTTACATGAGAATTTATTTTTATTTTGTTATATTGGAAAGGTTTTATTTACGGAGCATCACAAAGGCCATTCTGAATGTTTCCCATAATTTGTTTTAAATAAAAATTACCTTTTTATTGCTCATTAATTTTCCATGGAGGTGATATTTCCTTGAGAAAGATACCCATCTTAAAATATCGCCCAATGGTTCATATAATTCGGTTCTGTAATAATTGTAATAATAATTGTTCATGTTGCAAATATATATCATAAATATTTAAATATTTTGTAAATAAACTACCATTTAGTCATACGTACATAATGTAATATGTACTTGTGTACAAAAATACATCACTGGAACAACACTAATTATACTATACAAATAACATTCAATAGTTGCATAACACATCATGTACAGGGTGATTTTTTTATCATAACCCACTCAATTACTTACAGAATAATAATAATTTAAAAATTTTTTTTTATTATTATCTTTAGTTACACATTATTCTTGAATTATTAACTATGTAATACTTTTTAAGTTCATCCCTTATGCCTGGTAAGGGTGTCAACTTTGTTTTTTTTAATGGTAACACATATTTTTAATTTAATAAAATGTTTGAGTTTTTCATTCAATAATAAATGGAATTTGAATTTTTAATATAACTTAATTTGTTTATTAGATATAAACATTTAAAGTTTCAA